CCCCCCCCCCCCCCCCCCCCCAAAAAAAAACTGCATGATAAACAAACCAAAGGCCAAAAATACCTCTTATTTTTTTTTTTAAACCTCTTATTTTTTTGCTTTAAAGGTTTCTTTTTGCTTCTTCTGGAAAAACTAATGGAATTAAGAAGAATCTAACAACTGCGCTTTGATATTTTAACTAAATTAACACAGAAAACAGGAAAAATTCAAACCGATTGATGACAACATACGAAAAACCCAAACATTCCGGACCACTTCTCAAAAAAAAGAACCTAATCCAGACACCTACAAAAAATACTTTATCTTACACGAGAACCATCGATTCTTATCAAAAAGGAATCAGCAAAGTCGCCTAAGCTTCAGTGTGACACCCTCAAAGCTATTATAACATGAAATGCAAAATTATCAACGCAGATGCATGATGCACTATAAAATGAGATACTACAAAATGAGTTGATGAACTTTCACAGCATTATCGTTGCTTGCCGAGGCCAGTTCCCACGCAAGACCGCTGAACTCATCATGCAACCATAAACCTTTCTTCGGACGAAACCTGATATAAAGAAGAAAAATTAATTTTGAAGGGCAGAAATTATTCATTCATATGGTTATTAAGATTTCACCACTTTGGCAATTTTACCAATTTGAGTTGCTGCTCCTTCATCATACTCCCTCATGAAACCAAATATGCGCGATGCACTTTGGAAAACTTTACCAAATTTACAAGAGAATATTTTGCAAAAGTTTACCAAATTTGCAAAAGAAGGAATATCAGTTAGTCGAAATTTCAAGTCATCATTTCTCCCATCCCTGTACAGCAGCCTTGGCGCCCAAACAGTGAAATATAAAAAATTTAGCTGAACACCTCCAATGAGTTCTGTGGATCACATCAATTCAGAACTGAGCAGAATGGAAATACTGACAATCGCTGTTCGATCGCGGAAAGGGACCCAAAAGATCGATGTTGCCGATATTTAGGCTTTAAATCCCTAAGTTTAAAAATCACCTGAGTCTGTTTATTGTTTGCGAATGAGCTGGCCATCGTTTGAGGCAGGTGATTTCGCTACTAGCACCGTTGCGGGTCCAATTTTCGATCCCAATTTCACCATTTTCAAAGCCAACAGCAAGAATGTAACGTCTGTAAAAGTATTCAGCTTACACTGCATCAAAAAACTCGGTCATAACGATTGTGGGGTAGAAGAAAAACTTATACCCATCAAGTATCTCGGGAACAAAATCAACTGCTGTCACGGCACAAGAATACTTATTTTCCGCCATCAATTCAATATCTCTTCCATCAAATCGCCAAAAGCACAACTGTAAATACAAAAGGACCTCTGAATGGAACAAAACAACAAACTATGTTTAAGATATTCTGTCCGACCTTTTTGTCTCGAGCCCCTGTGACGAAATAATTGTCATCTGAACTCCAAGCGCAACACCAAATAATGCGCGAATGAACCCTGCTGTAGTTTTTATCCGAAGAAATCAGAAGTTCCCAGCTGTACGGATCTAAAAACACGCAACGCTAACTTCGAAATTCCGACAACTATAAATTATTTCATCCAAGAACAACAAGAGGACCGGAAATAGATGCAGGGATTTTATGCAAGTATTTTTAATTGGAAAATCCCGGCACGCCAGGCACAGATATGCTTGACCCTTCGTTCCTGAGCTGCATACTTTATTTGGTGCTAGTGAAGAAATAAATGACCTCTAATTCGGCAGTCTTCGAAGTAATGATCATTTATTTTCTCACTATTACCATCAGCCATTTAAAAGGCCAGTAAAAATTAAATGAAGTAGAGCGACAATCACATCAGTTTTACAATCACGAGCAAATATTATGACATTTGCGTCCAATATTATATTCCAAAATGAAGAAAAATAGTTAAAAGGGGAACAAAGGTTATGCTCAAAAGTACCAAACTGCGCTAGAAGAAACAACAAAACGAATTCAGAGACGTCCAAAAAAAAGCAAAATCAAGAAATGCCCGTAAAACTGGTTCTCCAACATTTGCAGCTGAAGTGTTTTTACAAGTGGAAAAGCTTTTTTTTATCGAACAAAAAATAGTATCAGCAAAAACAGTACCTTCCGGAGATTGAGCAAAAATAGCAAAATTTCTGTCGCGAGAAACAGATAACAAGAACTGGTCATTTGTCGAAAACGCAAGCTGTACAACAGTAAGTTTGTGGTACTGAAGCTCGCATCGACGTCGCCAACTTTCGCTATCCCAAATCATGATTTTTGCATGTTCAATACGACTAGCCTGAATTAATGGACCACTTAAATTGAAATTATAGACCACCAAAAAACTGAAAATCCAAGGAACGCAAACCTGGATTTTAAAACCGTGTAAACCAATGAAAAAACTTGAATGCCCATTGTATTACTAACTAGCCAGAGGTGGAAAATCTCTAGCCTGGGTGGGAAAAAGGGCAAAAACTGGGTTGTGAGGTGCCAGAACGAAGCAAAAGGAGACAACAACTCAACAAAAGCAAATTCTGCACAAGGAGGAACGAAAAAAAAAGAACAGAAGGAAAAAAACAGCAAAGATATAAAATTATGCTAAAATGCAAAAACTTGACAAAAAAAGAGCTGTGAGCAGACAACAGCGCAAAAGCAGGGAATAGAATAAAACTTAATATCACGAAAATTTCAGTTCAAGCGAATTTTTGAGGAACTTAGGAATATTTTGGCTTTTTGGTTGATAATTCTCACTGTTGCTTTTAATTGGCTTTCTTGAAAAAAAATTGTTTGTTTCGTGGACTCGAAGTAATTTTTCAGATAAGTTACTGTTATACGCACAAATCGAATAATAAACTCACCTTGCAAGCACTTGCAATAAGCGTGCCCGAATGATTACATGCTACGCAGAATACTTCAAAGCCATGTCCGTACAATTTCTGGACTTCAGGCCACAACGTATCTTGCATCAGTTGTTCCTCAGTGGGCAATCCAGCACCAACGTAAGCCTTACCAACTAAGATTTACAACAATAAACAGTGGTTTTAAAACAATGTTTGTTAGTAAAACTGGAATAATTGGTGTGATCATCCGACGATGACGCTGACGTCTCTCGTATGCACCGATACGTTGAACGCGGATACTTGATGCCTTCCGTACTTCTAACTGATGCTTAGCGCCTGTGACATATCTACATATCACCCCTTTTTAGGCCACCTGGTCACTTTCACAGGTAACACTCAATTTTACCGCATTACCTCGAATAGCCAGTGATGCAGTCAGACTTAAAAAAGGCGAAGAATCATCCATAGGGGATGAACTGCACAAAAAAAAAACCCACAAATTTAAGACAGAAAGGTTCAAGATATTTTCGACTGCTTCTGTTGATAGCAAAAATTTTAAGTAAATTTAAAAAGCGAAAAATGAATAAAGTATATTTGCTACTCAACCAATAATTTTGAAGTTTCGAAATTCAAAATGTAGAACAGCTACATGAATTTTAGACATAACAAATATAACTATATCTAATGATGATTTTAGTAAAGATAAAGAGAAGCAGATCTGTCAGGAAACGGAAAACTCAAATTCCATTTGAAGTTTATAATAGGAATTTTTAAGAAGAGAAATTCAGCTAACCGTTTAAAGATGCAACGTTTGTGCTTGCTGTGTCACCACTTGCCTTACTGTCCGTAGCTTTATTCGACAAGCCCAACGCAGGCACCGAAGCATTACGTTCGGCGATTTTTTCAGAGTTTGGGAATAACTGCAAATTTACTATCCCATTTCAGCCCTTTCAAGTACATCCACACTCTTCAAGAAATCCCAAAAAAGTTTTTCTAAATTCTCCGAAACAGAAGAAAACTCGAGCTCGGACCATATTCGTAATCCCTTTCTCCCCCCTCCCTTCTTCCACCCCCTCTCCTCCTCCCCTCAGCAGCTCCCTCCCCCCTTCCCCGACTCCGCCTCACTACTTCCTCCTTACCCTGAAACGAACAAGGCTTTTGGTGAAAAATTTTGAAATATTTTCAATAACTGCGTAAAAAAGAAACCATCGAATGCCTTTTACGATGAATTTTCTTGAAAAATGGTATCGATGCAGAAGAAGCGTCACAATTCTACACGGAAAATAAACAAACTTTAAATTTTGGCTGAAAAATCCTGAACCGAAAAAAAAACGTTTGGTAATGATACCTTATTTGGGTCAAACTTCGAGACATTTTTCAGCGCTTCCACGAAACTTCGCGGTACAGTAAAAACTCGAAGTATTTTTTCATCAGCACCAGAAACGAAACAACTGCTAAAACAGTGAATATCAGTCTGTTTTCAAGTGAACTCTAGGGGAATTCGTCGGCGGGCTTGCCAGTGGGTGATTGCTATTAGCGTATGATGGCATTCCAAGTACTTTCGAGTTCTTATGCCTTTTACTGGAAGTGAATACGAAAAGAACTATGATCTCTGGTTTTAAAATTACCAAATAAAGCTGAAAAAAACAATAAAACAGACCTGGATACAGAAGTGATGCAATTTAAATCATAGCCATGAAGCTGCGGCCGAGCAATTTCACATATCATTTTCTGTAAAATCAAAATCTTTCATCGAATTTTTAACACATTCTTCAACTACTTTTCCCCACTCAAAATTCCAAAAACTTACAAATTCACGACAGGGCGCATAGCAACGTGTAGTCTGGTCAACTGAACACGACAGAAGGCAACTTCCAGTGCGATCCCATGAAATATCTTTTACAGCGTCTGAATGACCACCAAATGTTGCGATACCTCTCCAACTCGTATCATCGCCAGCTTCCTTCAAAAATGCAAATCTCCGCAATTTCTTTCGTAACACGAAAAATTATGGCACATCCAAAAATCTCATCGAACATAAAGCGGTTAGTGCGATTTTTGATTGTTTTCCAGTTTTTAAGAAATTTTAATGTTAACTTCATATAATAAAAAATACATTTTTTTATAAAACCAGAATAAATAGAAGGATGTAAACGACTACTGCACCTCTGCAAAACATAACGCTAACCTGTTGAAGTTGCCATGAGAAGAAACCTCCAAAATATGAGTAAGCAAGAATTGTGCTGCCATCCGGCGAAAAACAAGCTCCAAAGAAGCCCACCGCCTGACCACCAACATCGCCTACACGAACCTAAAATTCAACTCATAAGTTTAAATGAACAAAAAAGACGAAATGTTTACTTTTTATCAAAAAATATCATACTTTATCAAGCCACAAGCCAGAAGCAGCTTCCATTGGTTCCCATATGATGATTGTTTTATCATTAGAAGCACTCATAAGTTGCAGTTTACTGGGATGCCATTCCAGCGAAAAAATCCAGTCGTCGTGTGCACTTAAAACCGCCTCAATGGTAATGGTGAAAGTCACTGAAAATTTAATAAGAAATTAAATTAAGCGGGCTTGCTTTCTGCAGAAATATTACAGCTCACAAAATGAAAACATAAAAAAAAACAGCTACACTGAAGCAATTACGAAAAAATAACCTCCTGTTTGTGCTCTCAATCGCCAAAACTGCCTTGAAACAATTTAGAGGAATTACTTCCAAGTGAGTTAGGACCACAATGTCTTGAGATTTAAGCAAACTAAATAAGATGGCTTGCCTGCCTTAATTTCAATTGTGGCTAACTTGTGGCCGCATGCCTAAATACAGGGCCAATAATAAAATTTTAAAACTAGCCCCTGACATTACTCCGTCTTCCGCTTATTTTCCAGCAACAAAAAAGTCATTATGTAAATTTTATCCGTTTGAAATCGTTTATTTTCTCCCCTCTCTCTCTTCTCCCCTCAAAAAAGTGTGGCTTGTACTCAATTCACTTAGACGAAGCTGTCAACTTCTTCCACATTTGTTCAATAGCCGGGTAGCATTTCCCGCCATTAACCCTATTACTCACTGCCCAACCTCAAGAATAGCTGGCACATTGAGTTCGTCCTCATTCAAAGGCAATTCTACCGCCAACACCGGAAAGCCTTATCATCAACATTATCAAGGACCACCGCATGGAGCTGTTGGTGTTGTCAAAATGCAACCATACGCCGGTCGAAGTTAACCTAACATTCT